GGAGCTGTTATGAGCACTAGAGGGAGATACCTGGCAAAGACTTGACAAAAGTGATAGAAAAGAGCTGAGCTCTGAACTGGTTTGTTTCATACCAAAATGAATATTCCATGTCTAGCATTTGCCCAAAGAAGACTGTAGTTATTCCCAATTACATTGCAGCAGTGGGCTTATGTTCGCTAAGTAAAAAACAACCACACTTAAGTGAGCCCTTGGTAGTCTCACCAAGCCATGTTTGGTGCTATCAAGCCATACCTCCCCTCTACACGCCAGTTCTAAGGCTGCTGCTCCCCTTGATTCCCACGGGGCCTCCACTGAGGAACAGTTTTCTTCAGTTTCTCCAAAACAGAACGATATTACTAGGAATCCCTCAGTGGTAACCGTGGGTTTAAATTTGATCACACTGCAATTCTAGTAACTACAGCGGAATTACCAAAATAAACATTGGGGGTGGAAAAAACAACACATAAATTCAGACTTGAAACATTACTTTATACTACAGCAATTCAGCTATATGTAAAATATATGCATTGCAATTTGCTTTTACCTTTGTTTTGAATTATGGAGTAAACTTTTTTTAATGTGACGACTTACAGAAAAAGGGAAATGGGTTTAAATCTGTGCCTCAGCCTACTAACATGGTAGAGTAAAAATTATGAATGTACATAGCAGCGCCATTATTGTGCGCTTCCTGAGACCTAAGGTCTCAGAATAGATTTTCTTTGACATGCCTCTTCTCTTGGAAGAGAGAGAAAAACAGAGCAGAACAAGGAGAACTGAAGGACATAGCCATCTTTTGCTAGACAGGTGCTCACTCTTAGTCATGAACTCCTTCATCACCACTTCCTTTTGAGATACACAGGAATTACATAGATACAGCAGCAGTGCCTCACACTGTAAAAGACAAATAATCACCACACTAAGTGAAAAGTAAAACTCATCTTTGCTTTCCGGAAAAATATAGAATATTCTTATCAAAACCACTCCCAAATCTGCCTCCGCAATAGTGTGGTTTGTTGTTTGTTTGGTATTTTTTTTAAATTGTTTTAAGGAGGGAAAGCTAGCACTTAAGGCCAAAAAAAAAAAAAAAGAACACTTTTCCAGAAGTCATATACCTCCTTAGCCAAGTATGGTCAGAGATGAGGATGACCAGAAAGATCCAGTCAGCTCCCTCTTCCTCCTGCAGCTATAGAACTCATCCCAATATATTCTAATGAATTTTTCTTGACAAGTAACAACACTGTATCTACTACCTGATCAGGACATCCTGACAGATGAAAATTTCAAGCAATCCTAAGCCTTCCTCCTACTGTACTTCTTCAAATATTTACGGACAACACATACTTATTTTCCTCTATCTCCTCAGGTATCAGTCACCTAAATTGTTCATACCAGGGTATCACCTACAGTGGTTTCTCAATGCTTTAAGAATTTCACTATGTGTCTTCTCACAACATTTGCATGTAGGGCAAGACACGAGCAACAAGGAGGAAAAAAGCAGTGCCGACGACATGAGCACAACATGCGGAAACAAACACTTTGACATCCTTGGGGAGAAGATACTAGGGTTTGGTTTGTATTCGAGATCCCTAGGTAATACTTTTGGAGATGGACTGTGCAGTCTCCAGAAGAGATCCAGGTTCTAGAAGTTTTTTAATTTATTGGTTTACACAAAGCTAGAGGTATTCAGAAGCATGGAGTACCAAGACCATACTTGTTCATTCCCAGCTAGAACTCAAGACAAGAGAATTCGAGTGCCTTCACCTGCCTGGTCTCTCCAGGCTTGCTAACACCTGTTGGGAGTGACTGTGCAGGACAGGGCTTAGCCTTATCCTCTCTTGCTATGCAAGAGGCAGCTATTTTTGGTTTCGTCTTTTTGAAAGACCAAAATTTAATCCACCAACCTCAGGCCTTAGTTGTGCTACTTTCTGTGTCTTTGCTAAAAAGAAGTTAAATAGTCAACACCCATCACAGAGTCTTTTTATATATGTTGATCAAGAGGCAGTTGCAAAAGTGATAATTAAGCAAGTAGCTGTCACATGTCATTCCATACTGGGTAGCACTGAATACTCAGCTGGAGACACAGAGAAAGGGAAACATTGAGATTTCAAGGTCATACATAAATAGAACGCACCACAGTTTTGTTTACACCCTAAATTATGTGTATTGGTGGTATAGATATATCTACACCACCAAATATAAAAACTTTTATATAAAACACAAGCATGCACGTACACATTCACCATACTGACTGTTTACTGGCAAAAAAAAATAATTACATTACGGTGCATTTCATCCAACCACAGTCTTAAAGACATGGAAACAAGACACCAAAATGAAAGGTTTGGATCACAATTTTATCACTGTGCTACCCAGAATACCTTCAGCACTACTTCTGTTTTTAACGCTGACAAAAAGTAGAACATAACATCATCATATTTAACTTTTGTTCAAATAAAAGTTAAAGGTTTTCCATGGGTTAACTCTGAATAACTTCTCAAAACCAGAATACAGAATAGTTGTGGTAATACAGAGGCTCAGGAGGCAATCGTTAAGGCTTTTGAATAACAGTGTGTTCTCTACTGATTTGCTGGAGTATTTCTTAAATACACACCTCACTCTTCTCGTGAAAATACTTAAAAGTGCAGAAGATGATGCTGAGGAATGACATTCACAGCTATGTTCTGAAACAGCACAGCAGCCTCAGCTTGTCATTTTGGCTGATGTAGTTCCTTTAACATCTCTCTTTGTTAGTATCGCTTGTATCTCAGTGCTTTATTTCCCCATCTTTAATACTTGCTCTAGAACTGGCATACTAACAGTTAACCTCAGGAAGATCTGCTCATTTTCTGAAAACACAGCTAGGCAAGGAGATACCTGTATTTAAAGTGCCCATATGTAACAATGATTCTCATACCAGTTGTGAGTATTTTGCTGCAGATGACATTGACAAGAGCGCGCTCATTTCAATTCAAAACAATGCAGCAAAGGCTACATTCTTCTCTTCAGCCTCTGTTAATAATGGTTTTCTGTGCATTGTATTTTTGTTATTTACTGTTACAATTTTCTATATTCTCCTAGACATTGTTTTGCTATACAGTGAAAAGTAAGTCTTTTATCACTCGAGTTCCAAATGCTCTGGAAATGCTCCCAGTTAACGAGAAGGTGCTAAAAATAGGTCCCAAGCATGTCTGCAGATCATTTTGGAATAACCAGTGACAAATCACAAACTGAAAGCTTCTGCCACTTCCCATAGTCTGAAGATCGCCAAGCAGTTCTTACTCAAATCCAGAGCTAAACATTAATATGAAAATACTGAAATGCTGTGCAACCTGCTGTGCCAATACCTGCTAGTAACGGGCATAA